AAAAACATTAAAGGGCATTGGCCACGATTTAGTGAAAACAAGTGGAAACGTCCGTAATCTACATGGGAGTGGCGCCGTTGGACGGTCATAATGATAATGATGAAGGGTGTTGCTCAATATGTTGCTTCTATACAAGACGTTTGAATTCCGGTTGTTGCTTGGTGAGAATCGAAAAGGGTCGATTATTATCCTTCGCTGTGTGTTTTGAGCCGAGTGAACTATAAAGAAAAAGGTTTTTATTACCCGTTTATTGGATTTTATCCCGCGTTTAAATCATCATCGCACAGTTCTCGAGTAAACACCAGTAAAAAATAACACTACAAATAAACCAAAAAAAAAAAAAACCCGTTCGATTACCATTGCTAATATTGCCAAGCGTATGAGAATCAGTCAAATACCATAAGCTTTGATGCATACGATATTGTATCCGGAATTCGATATTGCAATACAAAAGGTCATACTGTACACTAAAAATAAATATGTTGGATTTTCTAACAGTACAATAGTGGTTTTTGTTTAATTACTTATGTCAGAAAATAAAAAGGAAAAATAGAATTTCAAACACATCATGTATTGTTAATTACTACAATTACCTACTTTTATTGAGTTTATACAAATCCAAAAAGACTTAATCGAGTCCTCGATCAACTCTGATGCTGATCACAATATTAAAGTTTTTGACAATTTTAAATGGCATCTAACATGTTATTCTAAAGTTTAAACTAAAATTTCAAATTATCTGCTTAAGATAATGAGTAGGATAAAGTAGAATGCGAGATGACATAACGATTTTAGCACCATATTGTTTACTATATATACATTCTTATACAATATCTTTTTGATAATTATAATTGTGTGTTACATAACATATATGCTTGTTAAGACTAAGGAATAGATGTTTAAACTTCATAATATTATAGTCGCAAAATAATTGCAACTCTGCTCAAAACCAATACAGTGTTTATCGCGTGTATGTAATCTGAAGTAGAAGAAAGAACTACTTTTCTTTGAGAAACTTATATTGGATTACACATATTATATTTGTGTCATGCTAAATATATTTGCTAAACTTGGACATTATTTAAATACAAATTTAATAAGACATTGCAAATAAAAAAACTTAAATAATAAATAAATAAATAAATAATTATAATTTTAATTTTAAAAAATATCTAAACAATACTATCAAACAAATTATTTGTTTAACAGATTTAAATAAATAAATAAAAACAATTATGTTACCTAATAAATTTTCTATATTTTTAACTCTAAAATGGAAATAATCATTCAAATACAAAGGTTAGTCAAATAAAATATTATTTGATGTTATAAATAATAGATTACTTGAACATACAAATGTATTACAAACAACTTCAGTAGATTCAACTTTCTGAGTACATTTTATTGGATCGAATTGAATGTTTATTATTTTTTTTTTTTTTATACAGTATAAACTTACAACTTAACTTTATTTACGGGGCCAAAAAGGCCGACTAGAAAATTAGTTAGATTTTTTATAAAAAAAAAAACCTGTGAAACTGTAAACGCTTAAAAAACATAAAAAATCGAAAGGAAGCGTTAAACTATAAATAAAAATAAAATGAAAATTGGACCATATTGCCAAGAGACTTTGCATTTTTAGTCTTGATTTGCATACAATTTAACAGAAAATATCTACAACGTTTAAAATAACTTTTGGTAATCTAAAGGAGGACCATGTAAGAGTAGTACAAACAAAAATCAAAAACGATTAGGTGGCATTCGGCATTTGTCTCGCAGAGATAAAATGCGAATTTTTTTGCTCGGTTAGAGTTTTTTTTTTTTTTTTATCAAAATAATATGTTACAAACGACCGAGCCGGTGGTACACGTGATCTCAAGGAAGTCAGTCGGATCAAAAATCCTTAGGAATGCGGTATAATACATGTGTATGCGCCGGCAATGCAACTGTGGAATGCTAGAAATCACCGAGTAGGTATAATAATATATAATATATATATGACAGGTGTAGAATGAGCATACACATAATATGATAAATACACTTGTCCCGTTACCACGGCGCGAACCGAAAACCGAAACAATCATTGCTTAAATAAATACAAACCAGTCTAGTCTAGGCAATAAAAGTCCAGTGCAAAATTTATCTCCAAGTGCGAAAATGCTCAGGTAAAAATCTCTCAGGAAAAAAAAATGACCAAGTAACCAAAAATGCCAGAGTTATTTTTAAGTTATTACATATATTATGTAAATCGCATCTAAATTAATAGTACAAAAATTGTAAATTGGTATTAAATTTGTCCACGTTTAAACAGTTTAAAAATGTATTGTGTATAATACTATTAGGTAACACCACAATATTTGAAAATCAAATAAAAAATTTTAAAAATAGGTCGGACATATTACTGTCAACAACGTTCATAGTGACACTTACAAACAGTTTGAAACTGTAAGAAGTAATTACACACCTAATTAGAGAACAGGTAAAAAAAACCTAGTACCGAAATACCGAAAAAAATTTAGATAAGTTAACAAAATTTTCATTCAAATTAAAACCATAATACATTTTAATATATTCAAGTGTAAAATATTAAATTTTGATATGATCGTTTCTTGTTTTTTAAGTATAGTTTTTTTTTTTTTTTTTACTTAAACGGGAAAGGTTTTCCCAGCGGACGAAAATTATAGTGATATTTTTTTTTTTGTTGGCGTTTTTTAATTTATTAATACTTTATTAAGCATCGAATTTTCTTCGAATCCATCGTTTTCTCAAGAAAATAATTTTATCAGATATTGCCACCATATTTTAACCTGTCGTAGAAACAACAATTTTCGTCGAATACTTACCTTAATTACTTGACACATAACACTCTAAACAAGTCGTTAGCAAGTGTTGCCAATCGATTAATTGTTGCCCGAGGTCGTTAAACTAACGAATGAAAATAACTTTCAAAATCAATAATGGTTTCCCATTACACGGCAAATACATATATGTACATTTATATTGACAAAAAAAATATTTGTTTTCCGAACGGTTCAAAAACTTTATTAAAACTTTTCCTTCTGTTTTATAACATAAAATATAAGTTATATATATATTTTTTTTTCCAAGTACAAAAATGTATTATAAACCAAATTCAATAATACTTTTGGACTCTGCTAAAAATAGTCTACTAAAGTATAATAATGAAAATAATCGTTTTTTTTAACAATTTATTATTAAAACTTGAATGGAGCATTGTATTTACACTAAAGTATGTAAATTTATGATAATTTTAATTTTTTTTTTTTTTTTTAATAAAAACTTCAAGCGTTACACGTCAAGATATGTTGCGGCCAGGAATATTTCCACCGACTTTAATAATAATGACTGATAAAGCCTGAAGAATATGATGAATAATAATAATCCTGCTGTTGGATGGTGCAAATATAAATGTATTTTATTTTTATTTATTATAGGTTTCCAACTTTCGGCTAAATATTAAGTTAACCGATACCGCTTTAATGCTAGAATCGTTTAGTAAATTAATACTAAAATTATAATATATTCCTTACGATACCCGTAATTTGAAAGTGAATTGAAAACTGTTTTTTGAACAAGGTTATAATATAAGAAAAATTGACAAAACTAACTATTGACTTTTGCCATCCTAACAGAGAATTATAGTTTTAAGATTAATATTTTGTTGGGGGGGAAAACCCAAAACAAACCAGCAGGTTTTTTTTTTTTTTGTTTATCCCCGTCAAACGTTTACCCGAAATTATGGGTTTTATTGAGTTTAGTTGAAAAAAAAATTAGTTATTTCCAACTCTGCAAAACAACAGACTTTTCTACGAGTAGAATTGTATCAAGTATAAATTATATACATCATAATATAAAAGCACTTAAAGAAAAAAAAACATCCCCACGACAATATTTTTTTTTCTTTTTTTTCCCCACAAGGGTTTTATTCTTGACATCTTGTATTCAATGTCATCTACGATAGTAGTAGTCGTTCAAATGTTTTCAAGTACTAACTGATTTTGCTTTTTTCCACCCTCTTTACGAGAACAAGTACGTAAACCTATGCGTCCTATCAACTTTTATTATGTTTTAGAACAGCAAATATCTTATACGATTAATTAAATGTTTTTTAAATCCTTTGCGAATGAGATAAATGTACTTTTTTTAATTTATGTTCTGCAAACTCACAAATAGTACCTAATCCATTTTCCAGTATTATAATTCAAGTCGTTAATAAATCATTAACAACAATAATTATTATTTAAACGTTACTGCCTTAAGTTTAACGTTATGCGATTAGAACTACAGCGCACCGTTGTTCGTACTAATGTGATCTAACCGATGTCTTGAATTACTAGGCAAAAGAATAAGGAATATAGCATTTTTAGCTAAGTAATTATGTACAAAAAGCTTGAACGTTGAATATATATTTAAGTTGGCTTTCAATACATAAATATTTTTTTTTTTTTTTATAAGTGTAACACTTTATCTACCTATTATTAATTTCAATAATATATAGTTGAGTGTGCGGATGCAACATTTTAAATTACTACAAACTATTTGCGATTAACATAAGGGTTTTAGATAATAATATGATGTCATCAATACAAACAACAATAGTTATTACTATTGGACTATAGTGAGCGGTGTGAATCGACTCATCGATCAACTATACGTTATTAGTTACACAAGTAAATGAATATCTCTTGCTCCAACCCAAAAGAAATTATCTTATGACTATTATTATTTTCTAAGCACATACTAGTGATGGAAATATGGAAATTCAGATTCTGGCAAAAATAACCCAAATTTTAGCAATTTAAAAGTAATAAAAACAAAAATGATTTGATGAACCAAAGTGGAAAATCAGATAATCAACAAGGCTTTAAACAGTTACCAAATAATGTTCAAGTTCCATCACTAGCATGTACAGAACAGTTTAAAAATGGTTGTGAGGATGGGTTCGAAAGCGCATTTCGACCGTCGAACGTAACTCTTACCTGAGTGGTGTACGGCTGCGAGCTCAGCCTGATGCCGTCCTGTAGCAGCTTGTCTTTGAGGAGCAGCTTGAGCTGTAGCTTGGGTATCCTGACCAGTTCGGCTTTGCCCTCCTCGTACTCGTCGTAGTGGACCTGTTGCAGCTCTTGCGTACTGCTGCCGGACGACTGCGCCGGACTGGGCACGCACTGTTTGGCCGCGGCCGCGTACTTGCACTCTTCCTGTATGGCGGCCGTCTCTTCCAGGGTGAAGTACACGCTGGCCGCCCCTTGCTCGCGTAGCGTGCGCACCGACTGCAGCAGGCGATTGCGGTGCGACGGGTTGAACACTCCGATGGCGTCCAGGTCCGGGTCGCCGACCTGCTTGCATATCTCCAGGTCGTCGTAGCCGTTGTCGAGGAACGAATCGGCGTACTGGCCCAGGTGGAGCGACCCGAGCCACTCGACAACGATGTTGCTGCCGCTCTTGTTACTAGCCATCGGACCGTGTCAACGTGACGAGCCGGACGACCGTTGGCCACCAGCTTTGGCCACAACACATTTACCGCGGGAATTAATAATTATTAATAACAATAATTTTAATGTGTTATAGAAAGCCAACGGGGAAAAAAATATAATAAAAAGTCAGGCAGGAAAAAAACGGCGAAAAAAAATTTAATAAATACTATATTTCGTTAAATATTATTATGATGTCGATAATAATATTTTTGTTTAACTCGAATAAACGCACACACAAACACACTTTATGGAAAACGTTGCGACGGACCGGAATGACGTTAACGTGCAACTCTACGCGGATTCTGTGCGGTTAACACTGCGGCCAAAAATGCGATAACAACGCGTGCGGCCTAATCTCGTTCTACCGGAGGACATATTGACATTCTCGGCGCGGTCGCGACGGCCACCGCTAGATGCCGCTGCCCGTCGGCCGCGGTACGCGGTCCACGCCGGGCACTTTTTCGGCAACCCGATTTTCGACGGAAGCCCACGGGCAACAACCGGGTTTTCGCCATCGTAACGGTGGCCGTCTTTCGTACGACCGTGGACTATCATAGATGTGTGTAAATAAGGTACACAATAATAATATTGTTTGAATAAATGTTACCTAATATCTTCGGTTGAGACGAACAATTGAAACACACGACATGATATTGGCAAAAAGGTGCCAATCACACAGTAGTTTAGTTTTTTTTTTACAGGAGAGCTAAAACACCTTTTTTTTTCCAGTTAATTTTAAATGTTCAAAATATCAAGTGCGATCAACTTTTTATGTAAGTAGGTAATATTATGTGAACAAATTCTTGCAAAAAGAAAATAATTTTACTTTGTGATGGAAATGGTCAGCCTTTGGGCGTTGAGAGTTCAATTTTTGGGTCCTTGCTCACAAATCACAAATTTTCAATAAACTGTTCATCAAAATACCAAGATGGGATAAACTTTTAATGTGGTAACAAGTAAAATTAAATTCTTGCATAAAAAGAAAATAATGTTACCTACGCTTAGAAATGGACAGCATTTGAAAGCTGAATTTTTGGGCTATTCGAATTTGTTTCAAAAAACTGTTTTTAACCTTTTCATACCAAAAGACGCAGAATTATTTTATTCATCAATTAAAAAAAGCAAAGCAACGGTTTTCTCAAAAACACTTAGACGGCACCTTTTCCAATATTTCCTTTTCAATTATAATAATTGAGGAATTCTCCAGACAAAAGGCCTGTAATATTATATGCAAAACGAGAAAAGCCAAATAAACGTTTTCAATACTTTTATTGAACAACATTTTGATTTTAAATATCTTTGACAAATGTTTTAAAATAGTAAAAACCTTAATAAAATAATTGTTTTGAGAATGAAATATGTTTTTTTTAAATTATTTTCCTAAAAATATACCAACAAGGACTTAATGTACCATTTTTCAAAAAAAAAACAACTTAACAAAAGAAACAACTAAATGAAATACTCTGATTTATGTAATTACTCATAGTATAGAAAACGAACTGTTGTGTATTTAATGTTTCCAATTGTGAAGTTTATTGTATATATTGTACATAATATGTTAATCTAATCTAATGTAACCCAACGACCTTTGATGTCATACTTAAATATAGAAAATACAACTCATAAAATTCCTTTTCTCAAATGATGGTTCTGTTCAAGCTTAATTTATGAAAATTCCAGTTTCTATCTGAAACCGGCATAAAAATTTGATAAGGGAAATTATTAAAAAAAAAAATGCACAAATTTATCCAAAGCTCTCAATACTATGCCTGTGCTATGTTTACCTTATTTTTGTATGATGAATGTGTTGGTAATGACACTTCAATCACTTTCAGATGAGCCGAAAATTGTGAAAAAATATATTGCAATAAAATCAATAAAAATATTTAATGGTAAAAAAATATTAACTCCTTGTACATCATTTTTAGGAATTATCTAATAACAAATCTGAAATCTGGAATTAAAAAAAACGATTAATCCTATATTATTTTTAAATCTTGAAACAAAAAATGTATAAACTAATTTAAGAATGTCGTACCAAAAAAAAATGTAAAACAACACCAAAAAAAAAAGTTGAAAAGAGAAGTTTTCAAAATTTTCCATTTCTTTCGATTTTCTCATTCGGATATTACTTTTTAAAAACTATTTCATCAAAAATCGTTTTTTTAATTTAGATAGATACAAATCGTATCAAAAAAAATGTATAAAAAATCTAGTTATAAAATTTTAGTATGACTAAAAAACTTTTAAGTTTTTTGGTAAGAATTCCAATTATTTCCATCGCCCTACCCTTATTTTAGTTAGTAACTATTTATTTATCCACTTTAAAAAGTTTGTGCCGCATATTATCCATTACTTCTAGATTGTATAATATGTATATATATATATATACATACCTACTCTAAAAACTTCCCTTGACCATAATAATATAAGACTTTTGCATAATACATTTGAATATTAGGATTAACTGAAATTTCGAGTGGCCATTAACTCGTTTACACTTTGATGGGGTATTAAAACTTTTTAGCGCTTATAAACTTTATGCCCTTTCAAAAAACATTATTTATAGCCTATCGCTAACCTCGGTGACGCCGTTTGACTGATTTCAGTGTTGTGTATGAGAAAACTGAGATTTACGAGGTCGTCAACTTTATATTATAATGACTTTGAAACAATTAAATATGCAAATTAACTTGTGGGGAAATTGCTGCTATCAATAGCATAGTTATTAAGTCCCAAAAACAGTGTATAATATCAGTGTTGACGATACACAAAAACTGGTGAATTATTTTTGATATTATGACATAAATCATACGTGTAAAAATAAAAAAACATATCTATTGGTTTAATGTAGTGCTTGTGTTTTCGCTTATTAAATATATTTTACGCACTTAAACTATATAATTGAAAAACCGATATTGAAAAGAATAAAAAAATTAGGTTGGCAACACCGTTGTGTTGATACTACCCCCACTAATTTATAAATAAATTAAAAAATCGTTTAATTAGTAACGTACCCAAAGGAGGAGAAAGAAATGAGGAGGAAACAATCTTTGTCTCAAAGTAAAGACTTTGGATCATGCATATTTCTTATATGATCATCCAATTCTCTTATCAGTTAGCCAGGAATTCCCCCTTAATCACTATACCACCCTCTATTTCTTTATAATTTATTGAATACTCAATAATTCCTTTTTGACGGAGAAAAACACTTATATTTTTCTTAAAGCTTTCTTAAAGCTTCTTAAAGCTTAAAATTTAGTGCTAATAATTGAACTGACAGTGGGCACGATTCTAAACTGGATTATAACTTAAAAATATACCAAGCTATGGCATTGCTTCTCCGTGGAAATTTACAATGATAAAAACGAAACGGCAGCCAATCACAATCGTCTATTTCGTTAAGCTGCCATTTTGTGAATTGATAAGACAAAAAAAAATTGGGGATATGCAAATACCTACCTGTTGTATTTAAACCACAAACTATAGCTATTCTATGCTATTGTCAAAAAACAAACCCCATTCTAAAGCAATAATCAAAAATATGAATACCTAATTCAAAACTTGCAAAATGTACCTTATCAGTAGCTTATTTGTTTTTTTTCAAAACGTCCCGAAAGTTTTGATGAAATTAAGTGGAACTCTCGGTATCTCAATTTTGTAACTTTAGTAGTTTCAACTTTGTTGTTGTTCAACTCGGATCGTGACTTGAGATTTAGATGAAATCAGAGATGTCTGCAGTATACTTGGGCCAAGTAATTTGTTCGCCAAAATACATAACACAACAGTTTACACGAACTGCTCGTGTAATTTAAATGGGATACTATAAATAAACAACGACCAAGTACTTGTAAGCACAATATAAGAGGTGGAGCCCATTATGCATGTATACGCGTAAGCAATTTAAAGTTCAACCAGATAATGTTATATCACTATAAACGTGTATACGATGATATTTTACACAATGATTGGAGAGCCAATAAAACAGCAGACCCTTGTTGACCAATGGACTATAGTAAGTTCACAGTGCATTGCAAAAGAAACAAGTAAAACTTTCTCGACAAATAATCGACCATCTCTCTAATTGACTGTCTATATACAGATAAAGGTTTTGTGCCATTTTATACAAAAAAAACCTTTGGCTAACATTGGCATTGTACTTTTGTGGTTGATTGGATCTTGGGGAAAAGCAAATCAAAATATTACACAGTAATGCCAATTGTGTATGTTGTATTTGCTGGGCCAAAGTGTAGATGACATGTTTTCCATAAAAAAAAACAATTTCCAAATATAGATATTTATTTAGTTGTTGTTAACCCACGATGCCACGTCTATTATCATTAGGCTTAGGGACTTATAGTATTTGTAATATGGACATTATAAAACTTAGAAGAGTAATATACTGGATGTTCCAGCATGAAAGGTAAGTAATAGGTGATTGGACATCTGGGGGACCCCCAAATAAGCCCCCCGTTTTCATTTTTTCGATAAGTTAAAAATTGAAGATTTCGACAGTTAAGTAAAAAAATAATGACTTAAAAAATATATATATATATTCCCTGTTATTCAGTGCAAAAAGCTCACCTTAAAAGAGGGGTCACATCATTTTCAGGCCCTTTCGGCCCCTAACTCAAAAAATCATAAGAGAAAAATGATTAGAGACCAGAAATAAATGATAAGTGATAAAAGATAAATGCTAATACATAATTGATAAGAGATAAAAGAAAAGATATAATTGGTAAGAGATAAATTATGATAGATTAGACATAAATGATAAGAGATTAGAGATAAATAATTAGAAACAAGAGATAAGAAATAAATAATAAAATATTAGGGATAAGAGATAAATTATTAGAGACTAGAGGTAAGAAAAATGATAAGATAAGTGATAAGAGAAGAGTTAGGGGCTGAAAAAGACTGAAAATTATGTGACCCCTCTTTTAAGGTGAGCTTTTTGCACTGAATAACAGAGAATAATTTTTTTTTTTTAAGGCATTATTTTTTTACTTAACTGTCGAAATCTTCAATTTTTGACTTATCGAAAAAATGAAAACGGGGGGCTTATTTGGGGGTCCCCCAGATGTCCAATCACCTATTACTTATATATATATATATATATATATATCTAAATACGTTTCAGAGTGCAATAAGTTTATATAATATGTAATTTTACTATGCATATTTTGAGGATTTTCTTATGTCGGGATATAGTTTGCTATTTCTACGTTTATTTGGGTTTTACGATGAATGTTATTACAGTGTAATTTTAAAGAACGACTCAGTTTCAATGATGTAATTTTTACAACAAAATTAAAAGATTTTTACGTTAGAACATTTTTATTTTTATTTTATTAGAACAGTTTTGTTAAAGTTGCAGTTAGACATTTACAAATATTTTGATTTTTTTTTTATAAGTATTATTTACTTTTATATATTTTATCATTTAAATTATAAATGTTTATAATTGATTTTAAGGTAAATATTTTTGTTTCAAATTTAATTGTAGACAAGTTGTATTTTCGATTGATAATTAATAAATCATAATTATCATCTACTATTCATTAGTTATTACTTTTTATAATTAAAAATTAAACAAATTTATTTTTTTTAACTGTGGTAATGTCTTATGTTTGACATGTAATACTATTTTGTAAAACTGTTTTCAAGAAAATTTCAAAGTCATCTGCTTGTTTGTGGAACGCTCTCATGCAAAATATCGTTCCTTGCGGCCACAACTATATTTTCCAAACAAATACTCCAATTAAGGTTTTTCTTGACTAGAATTTATACATATTATATACTGTATATAATTCAATAAGAAACCGAAACCGTCGAGTGGTTTTTAAAATGCAATGTCTTTTACTGAAAAACGCGTTTATGGTTTCACACTTTGAGTTTAAATATATATGTGTTTTTTATAAAAATAAAATATAAACAAAACGAATACAGTTTTTAAATTTCAAAATAAATATACTCCAAGAAAATGCAAAAAAAAACCGAATTATTAAAAAATCCGAGTACCCCGACTATAATCCGAATGTATTTGTTTTTATTATTTAATTTAATCATTTAATTTTTATCATTCTATTTCAATAAAAAATAATATTTACAAGCCCCCACTCTGTTTTTTCACATTCTTAGATCCGCCACTTGTGTGCAACTATAAACAAATCTAACCTCAAAAATAGTTAAGTGTCTGCCAAATTTGCAAATTGCCAATAAGTATTACAAAAAAAAAAAACATAATATAGTAGATACTTGAGCAAGGCCGGAACGGTCTGGTTAAATTTAAAAACAGTTCAAACGACCTTCTTCTAATCGGATTAAAAATTAAATACTAAATAGGATTAACAACCAACATATTGTACAATCAGATTTTCTCCACTTTGCACTTCTGCCATACACAGAAGAGGGGTCAGATATTTTCAATAATAACTATATCACATTCTGCCTTGGTTGATCAGTGGAGATTTTCAATACTCTTCTATTGAATTTCTTAAATATTCTTTTAACCTCCAGATAAACTCAGACAGACAAGCGAGACGGTAAGTTGTCTAATTTCCACCGGAACACTGTGCATCTATATGACTTTGCCTGATTGTGTAGTACTCACTTGTCTATGTGATTTTATTTTTTGGGGGTTTTCAGGAGACAAAAAAAAACTGTTTTTCTAGGTCCTTTTTTTTTTTTTAAACAAAATCTTTATGATTTTCCCCAGTTTATTACCGTTCAATGGATCGATTTAATTTATAAAATAATCAATTTTTAACTTTTAATTTAGCCTAAGGAATGTAATTAATGGGTCTTATAATGGTGTAATTAAATAAATATAAACTTTTGGAAGTTTTGATTAAAAACAAACACTTTTTCTGTGTGTGAAATTTAACATTTTTATTCAACACCATGCACAATATAATATATTAACATGCTTGAGAAAAAATTAAAAGTGTTACAATATAGAAAACAATATTAACTTTGAGAATATTATAACTCTAAAAATCGAACCGTCCCGAGTAGTCAAAAATCTTGTCAGGCAATCAAGTACAATTTGATTGGAAAAAAACACAAGACCTGTTTTGTGACTTAAATGAATCACTCTGTATTGCAGTTGTCGGCTAAACGAAAACGATTATTCGGCCAAAGAAAATGGAATAGTATCTATTTTTATCAGCACAGCTGTTGTTATCACAATATCATTATCGTTGGACGCAAATCAACAGGTTTATTTCAAAATAATATTATAATTAATGAGATTAACAGCTATATAGCCCGTTGGACTTGGACTAGTTCCGGGTTTTATTATTATTATTATTATTGCATAAAACAACACAAGTTTATCATCATGAACAGAGTTTTATATAAAAGCGCTGCCAGTTTTTACTAACACAGTCAAACAACAAACAGAAAAAAAGAACAAACAATAGATAAATAGGTTTGTAATTTGTATTTTAACAATTTTTGAGAATCTCATTTTTTGTGTTTATTTAGTGCAATTTTTTTCTCATACAAGTAAAAATACTTGCAAAAAAAATGTCTGCATCCAGACGACTGTCGTCTCTCATAATGGGCGCACCCGGATCGGGCAAAGGTACGGTGTCCGAAAGGATCGTCCGAACGTTCGATATGCTGCACGTATCCAGTGGCGACATACTGCGTAAAATGATCCGCGACAAGACCGAGCTAGGCGTCCAAGCCGACAAGTGAGTTAACAAAAAAAATGTTTAAATTCTTCCATCACCACCAACAACGTTAATGTCGTCCGACACAGGTTCGTCTCAAACGGTCAGCTCGTGCCCGACGATCTCATGTTGAAAATAATCGGTTCCGAGCTGAGGCGGTTGTCGTCGGCCGACAGCAGTTGGCTGCTGGACGGATTCCCCAGGACCAAACCGCAAGCGTTGAGTCTGTTCGAAATAGCTCCGGTCCAGGTGGTCATCAGCCTGGACGTGCCGTTCGACGTCATTATCGATCGGGTCAAAGGTACGGACAAAGCTTATTGTTGTAAAACTTTTTACGTCGTGTAAAATTGTATAACCCACACACAATTTGTACGTCAAACAGGCCGATGGATTCATCCGGCCAGCGGACGGGTGTACAATACGGATTTCAACGCTCCCAAGGTGGCCGGGCGCGATGACGAAACCGGCGAGCCGTTGGTTCAGCGCGAAGACGATAAACCCGAATCGGTCAAGAGACGACTGGAGATTTATTCGCAAATGGCCGGGCCCATTTTAGAATTCTACGGCCAACAAAACGTTTTGGCACAATTTTCAGGCAACACCACCAACGAAATTTGGCCAAAAGTGTACGAGTATTTAGCGACAAAAATCGAACCCAAAGAAAAGCTTTAAAGGGTTTAAATAAACTACCAAAAATGTTATTTTACAATTTTTAAACAAAGTCTGCAATCGTTTTTCAGTGTTATCGGTTATATTTTTATGAACAATACCTTTTTTTTGGTTTTTAGCACAAATCGTAACGCATTCGATTAACTTTATAAATATATATTTAAGTATAAATAAATACATTTATTCGATTAAAATAAAATTATAATGTTTTTTTATTTAACACCAAAACGATTCATGTTACATTTATGTATACTATGTTTAATCTGATAACTTACACCGTGTCAATTCGTTGTGTAGCAAAAAAAGGTAATTGTGGTTTTTATCAAAAATAAAACTAATATTAAACCAGAACAATAAAATGTTCAAAACTTTTCCAGTCTTTTTAATTAGTCAACACCTTAAGAAATACATTAATAAGAAAAAAAGTACGTTAATTCAATAAAGGTCAGACTTTTTTTTGGCATGGTCAACGATTATCACATTGAAAAATATGCCTTGTCTAATTTTCTTACAAAAGTGTTGTCTCGTAAACTGAGTCAAGTCCATCAAATTATTTAAGCTCGAAACAAATCCAGACCTACTTAGCTTAACGAATTTCGATTCCAACACACGACGTCGTAATGACAACAATAAATACATTAATGTAATATTTAACCGAGTCGTACTATTATAGTATTTTTTTTTTTTGAAACAACAGATTCGGCAACAAACAATAATAACACAGTAAAAAAAAAAAAAAAGGATTATAGTGCTAAACATTTTTAATTTTTTTAACTTTTTTGTTGGACACAATCAACGATTTCCGTTTAACGGGCGTTTTACCGACGGGAGTCGTCTTGAGCGTGCCGTTTTCGACTACATTGTTGCGTTGTATTCTGAAATTGTAATAAATACATTTAAATAAAACAAAAAAATCAAAACAGTATATTAGTACTCACTTAGCTTCGGCGCTGTTCATTTTTTGAACGCATTGCTTTAGCCGGTTCCAATTTTTGCGGCCGGCCTGATTGAATCGGCTCGTCGAGGTTTCCAAAACGTCATTCAGCCGTTGCCAGTCGCAACTGTGATGCGAAAACTTATTCGAACTTATCACGCAGAGAACGTTCAATATTTCGTTAATGTACCGTTGCCGTCCGGACACGTCCGGTTGACTGTCGTCTAGAGACGTGAAAAACTGCAAAACGAATTTTTTTTTTTTTTATGTTACACGACAAACGCTACACACTAATTTATTTAAACAAAGTTGTTAATTACTTTAATAATATAGTCTGATAATTTGTTTTCAATTCGGTCTAGTTGACTCTTGTCGTCGAGCTGTTCCAACAGTCGCGTGTTCTGGTAAAACGACACCAGAATGCATACGGCCTGAGACCGTCTGTACCACCTGACGGCGTCGCTGAATGCAAACGGCAAAATGCACTCCAACAGATCCAAGTTGCGATCCCACGACACTTTCGATAGCAAAGACTCGAACAAGGCCACGGGCAACAAACAGTCCCTCTTGGTGAAAAAGTCTGTAAGACAATCCTCCAAAATGCCAATCACCATTGACGATTTCTTTTTTTTCTTGCTCGTTCTGCTCGAAATCATGTGCACGTACGATTTGACCAAAAACGTACAACACTGCGTTATGTGCGTGCTGATGTCCAAAAACACGGGTGTCGCTAAAAAATGGCAATATCGTTAACGTGTTTTTCCAATTGGTTACGTTGAGAATCTGTGCTCATTTGTTTTTACGTACTCCTGACGCCCTTGTCCATCAACAGTTTCAGGACCGTTGACATCAACTCTTCGTCCACGCTGTCCGTGTTGTCGACTTTTTTCAACTGACTGATTTTTTTCAACACCGATCGCACTCTCGTCTCGAGCGGACGCTGTTGTATGTCTTTGATACAGAACTCGAGCAACGCAAACAGCGCAGGGATCGTGTCCAGAATGAGACACAGCGACGGGTTGTTGTCCAGATATATATCGACCAAATCCATAACTCTGAAAATAATCAAAATTAACAAATATAATAATACACCTAATTTTGTTACGGAAAATACGATACCTCAGCCTAAAGTTCATTTTCTCTTTAATGTGTTTAGGATTCTTGCTAGAGTTTTTCTTGTAGTTTTTAAACGCTTCCGACAGCAAGTCGTCCATCATTTTGCCCTCTTCTTCGGTCATGTCGTCAATGTCGACAGATTCCTAATAATATAACTGTGTTATTGCACTGGAATATAATTGGTTAAAAATAAACCGTAATTACGTCGTCTGAATGTTGGTTAGCCGACATCATGGCTTTGTGCAGGGCCAACTTCAACTGTTCTGTGCTGTCTTGATCTTCGTCGCTCAGCTCTTCGTCAATGTCGGAACAGTCGCTCTCTTCCGCGTCGTCGTGACGACCGTTCAGCCCGTTTCCGTTAACTTTAACATCGGTTTCGCTGTCTTCTTCTTCTACGTCTTCTTTGTCAGATTCCGAATCGTCAGACTCGTCGTCGTCGTCGCTATCTTCGTTCATCGTATTTGAAACCGTATCGTATTCCGGATTCAACACCTGCAATTTAAGAGATCCACTTTGTTATGAATCTGCTTAAAAAATGAATTTTTCATTTATAAAAAAACAAACAATACTTGTAAAATTTGATGAGAAGCTTGAGGTGTTAATTCCGAACACAAATGTGAAAATATACGCGTAATCAGCTGCCGTAACAAATACGATTCTTTGGCCAACAACGACAACATCAGTTCAACAACGACTTCGACCCAATTAGGCTGGTCGTCTACGTCGTCTTCGCCATTATCTTTTTTATGGTGTTCGTAACAGTTTTGCAATTCCTACGAAAAACAGCCACGCAACGTTAGGATATAGTTGTTGTATTGTATTGAAAAAAAATTGATATATAAATAGTTTCACGTCCGACCTCTAGCGTTTCCTTGGCGACCGACGGCTCGACAAAAAGATAAAGTCCCATTTGCAAGAACATTATGTGGAAAACGAAAAGGATCGACTCCTCTTTGGATTTGCTTTGACACTTTTTCAGTTTCTTTTCAATTTCTCTTGTCGTCTTGGTCATTACTTTCCAAACGGCCAAGTCCTACAACGAAAACACTCGATTAAATAAAATGATATCGTTTTACAAACGGCCGCATCGCTACGAAAGCGTTTACCTCTTTGGACGTTTTCGACCTGAGCTGTCGGTTGGATTTCACCAGTTCGTCGGTGTAATGTACCAACGTGGACAGAGTGACCCTGAGCGTTTCCATGTTGGGTTGTTTGTAGCTGAGCGCTTTCAAAAACGAATCCCTTATAATAGCTATAAAACCGAGTAGGTACAACATTTTAGTAAGCATAACAGTTGTATTTGGTTAAGAGTTTACCCGACAATTCGTGACTAATGTGATATTTTTCGCTGGCGCTGGCGAAAAACGCGTTCTCCAACATGAATTTTATCTGATCGATTTTCCACGCTGTGTCCGTACAATTTTGTAATCCCAAAATCCTAAGACAGCAAAAAACAATTATTTTCGTTTTAAAGTCGATTATAGAAAACCATCAGTACACGTACCTAGCGAGAAGCTGTGCGGCGTATCCGCGATCTTGGATTTTCCAAAAATGAGCCTTGTCGTTGTTGCCTTTTTTCTTCATCAGTATAACCAGATGACATTGTTTGGCCAACAGTTTGATGTGCTCTTCGTCCATTTTCATCAAACAGTTTTGGACAATTTTAATGCCTGCGAAACAAAACGTGTAAACTAGAGACGACGGCCACGAACGAGTAATTCAGTTATCATATTTATTAGTCGACACTCGATTTATTTTCCAATTAAATAAACAAATTAAATTATTCAACGATATTTGAGTTGTGAAAAAAAAGGTCTCTTTAAAGTTACTTAAAAAAAAAATTGCCTTAATGACAAATAAAATTGGTCAAAATAAGTATTGAAATAAAAAAAAGGTTATAATATTCACTTTGTAAATAAATGAATGGATTGTCAACGACAAAATTCATTCGACATATTTAAGTGATTAATAAATTTATCAATTACCTGTAATTTTTTCGATCATCATATCACCCGGAGGCAAAATAAATTTCAACAACACTCTGTACGGTATTACGGCCGTGTCCAAACCACTGACACGCTCCATTACGGCAGTGATGCTTGTTTTGGCATACGACGTCAGGGCGTCGGCGTTGGACCGCGAAAAAGATTTCAGCAGCATGTCCAAAAACCAATTGGACAACAACGAGACCATACTGTTCGGCGAACAGTTTTTGACAAAGTTCGAAAACAGTTTCATTGCCGCCATTTGTTGGAACCGATTATGCGGGCCGGTGAAGTGAGGCTGCAGGACCGACCAAAACGACTGTACGAGAGAATCGCTGTCGTCGGCCAAAGTCAGCGCTTCGGCAAACGATTCATAAATCGGATGTTCGAGCATTTCCATGCTAGAAACGGTCTTTAAAAAAAAAAAAAACGACAATCGATAAGTAAAATCAATCATAAATTCACCGACCGCAATGTGTATTTACAAATATTAAAATCTTGGCAATTTCGTTCATAGACTCGTTGCACAAAAGATCCGTGGCCGTATCGAACACTCTCGGCACGAACGAGCCGTTGATTAAGGACGGATATTGTTTGTGTACTTCGATAATGCAATATAACGAATCTAGAGTTTGCTTTGCGATCGGCAAACCGATGTTTCTTTTCAATAAAGGCCACACGATCTCGGCGAACACGACATTACTAGACTGAAGAAATAGAAAAAACGATGAAATTTATTATAAATAAAAAAATACTATTATATTCAATAACCATAACTCTTCCTATTTAATAATTCCACTTACCGAGTCAATGCCTTTGGTTAGAAATTTATAAGTCAATAAAGGTAGATATGCCCTTGTTTTGGTGTTGTTCAAAAGTTCCGCTACGATCGATTTTTGATCGTCCATCGATGCGGTACCGAACAAACCACTACGTATGGTCGCTCCATAGCACAGAACTTTGCCCGAGAGAATGTCGCCTTCTTCCTACAATGTGTCATATAAAAATTAAGCCCAAAACAATTTGTATGATAAAATTAAAAAATTATAATAGTAATAGAAAAAGAAATTGCGTATGTCATTTAGTAATTTACTGAATAGTTCGAAACATTATTAAAAATAAAAATGTACTTGCACAAAAGTTTAAATAGCAAACGCGGTTTTATTTGAACGAATTTAAATAAATTATAATAATTACAATAAAAAATGCTTTAAATAAAGTTTTTCATTTTTCTTAAATAATTTTTCAATCTAATAAAATAATTTATTAAACTAATTTATTTAAATAAATAATTTTTTCTTTAGGTAAATTAATAAATGTTAAACAGTTTCTTAATTTTCAAATAAAAAAAAGAGATGACATAGAACTATCAGTTGCTGGCAATTTTTTATTTTTTTAGTTTAGTTTATCAGCCGGACTCGGTTTTTGTTTTTCGGCTCGAATAAAATCTTTGACTGAAAAAACTTTTCCACCTTCTTAAACGGAATAGGAAGCCAAGTTTTTCCCCTTAGCTCGTATTTTACTTTTTTTTTAATTTATAACAGTTTGTGTAGATAATCGGCATGGTTTTATCAGCGTTGTTCTTGAAATTGTTTAATTATTATTTAATATCAGTAATACAAAAACGACGACTTGTGGTTAAAATTAATAGTTTCCGTTCCAAGTACATTTTGGACATGTTATAATTTTTAAACATTGTTTTATCTGATTGTTCAATGTATACTTGAAAAAAAAAATAGTAGAGATTCACATTTAAGTTTTTTTGAGCAAATACGAAACAGATGAAACATTTGCCAGAGATATTGTAAAACAAACCAACTGGGTTTTTCGATTAATTTTGTACGGGGCCCATGACGATTAACAATACGATCAGCAGTCGCTCGGTTATACTCACCGCTTTGGAATCGTATTTCGATAATTCTTTGTCTACGATGTCTTTGAAACTGTGAAAGTCAAACCAAGACTTGTCGGTCAAGTAGTTGATAACGACTACTAGCACAGAATAATAGACGGTCCTGACTTGGGTTTTGGGAGAGCCCAGACCGCGTATCAATCTGGTCAACACGTAGAACACTTCTTTTTGTTGTTGCTCGTCCAGCTAAAGCAGGAAAAATAAAAAAAAAAAACAAATCATAAGAAATAGTCCATAACTTTTTGCAAACGTCATCGGTTCGGATTGAATCAGTCAAACAAATTTGGCACAAATTGTAACATGACAACAAATTTGTTGATCCCGTTCTTCGTCTCACCTCATTATCGGTGGACAGTTGCAGATGCTTCACCAGTTGCATGCACAATTTGGGTTTGCCATTTTGAGGGGCTTTGATGACTTTTTCGAACAGATCCAATACCGATTTGCTCGCCATTGTCGTTCCGAATCAAAACAGTGTCATTTTCACAAGTAAATAGAAATATTGAAAGTTACACCGGATAAAATATTCAATAACAAGCTGTTTTCCAAATAAAACACTACATGTGACAATTTAAATTTCAATAGCGATGGCCGAAGAGAGTCAAACACGTGATAATCGTTTGTTTATCAGCGCTGATGTTGGCAACGAAACGCTACCGGAAACACTGGCATGAAGTTAGCGACAAACGGCTGTTATCAGCTGTTATCATTTGTGACTTCGCTAAATCGCCAAAAGTCAAAACGTAGAGAGATTTTTTTCGTATTTTAACTTGGAACTTCACACGTCCATTGTGTTTTTCATACTTCCCGGGATACTTGCAAATTTATAAAACTAAAGACCTAACCGACTTCAGCAATGGTGAGTGCACAGTGATATTTAACACGGTATTAATTTTGCTTCAACACGAACCAAAACAATATGGGTAACTGTTAAAAATAATAATCAAACATTTTTTTTGATTTTTTGCCATAAGTTTTCTCTGAGCCTGTTCAACGATATCCTACGTCCTTTCAACGTGACCTACAGATGTTGGTCGGTGTCCATGTTGCCGGGCAGCGAGCGTGAAGACGTGGAACGCGGAGGAAAAAGTAAAACACCAGTCGACTGGACCAGTTGTCATTGTTGTTGTTATTACTTTGCCAATACCTAAATAACTTGTTGTTAACTTTTTACAGTCATAATGCCGCCATCGGCTCTGGACGCTTTGACACGTTTGAATATTAACTACCCAATGTTGTTCAAACTGTCGAATAAGAAAAACAATAGAGTCACGCATTGCGGAGTGTTGGAGTTTATAGCGGACGAAGAAAAAGTCTACATTCCGTATTGGGTATGTCAGACGCCGTACTGTTTAACTAATAATGTTTGCTTTATAAAAAAAAAATATGTATTTATCGTTTAGATGATGAAAAACTTATTGCTCGACGAAGGCGATATGGTTCAGGTTGAAAGCGTATCGTTGGAAGTGGCGACTTTCTCAAAGTTCCAACCGCAAAATTCCGAATTTCTCGACATAACCAACCCGAAGGCCGTTCTGGAAAATTGTCTTCGGAATTTCGCTTGCTTAACGACTGGCGACGTAATCGCCATCAAGTACAATCAGAAAATATACGAGATGTGTGTGTTGGAGACGAAACCCGGCAGCGCCGTCAGCATCATCGAGTGCGACATGAACGTCGAGTTCGCCGCGCCGGTCGGCTACCAGGAGCCGGAAAAACCAAAAAAACAAGTCGCCGAAGAAATGATGGTAGATCCGGCAGATTTAATGCCGGAACCGGCCGGTTTCATAGCCTTCAAAGGCTCCGGTAACAGATTGGACGGTAAAAAGAAAAAAGAAAATGCCGACGACCAATCGAATCAAGTGGTCCGAGTAGCGTACCAAAGAGGCATACCGGATTACGATTACACCATTGGAACGATTCAGTTTCTACGTAACATTCGTTCGGTGACGAGTGAGAAAGAGGTAATTTTATTTGAGTTTTAAAACTTTTATCTACACAACAAATTGCAGTCGTATAAATATCGTATAACGTTATACTCGTAACAAGTATAACGTTGTTTTTTGTATCTGTTTGTTAATGAAATATGTTTTTTTTTAGACCGAAGAAAACGTGTTCAAACCGTTTGCGGGTTCGGGATCGGTACTGAAGACGAAAACAAAAAAATAACGTATCATCCGCGTTACTACTCGTTGTACTTTTATTCCACACACCCATTCAATACACGTCTTGTAAATAATTATTATGTTATGTAAATACTGATTCTGAATAAATGAAAGATATATTTATGATAATAAAACGTTTGGTAAAACTAGAATGGTGCCAAAAACATTATAACATCATTACGCGTATTATAATATTATTAATATAAATTCTGGCTCTGTGTCAACGGTATAAAATACAATATTTGTTTTTACTTTTAAAGTTAAGGCCAAAGGGTCAACGTATCTTGTTGACGAGAAATATTTTATTATTCGTCAACATTTGAACGCGCACACAATTTAGACTCGCTTTATTAGATTCGTCGGAAAAATTCTGTTCTTCGCTTTACCTACTGAAAATTGAACACCGTTCGACATATTGTTGAATAAAATCAAAATTTTAAAATGTACCCTCAACTTCACACTGTATATAATTACTTTCCTCGACCAATCTACAAAGTACTCTAATTTTAATTGTTTTTAGGCTACTTGAACACGGTTCTAATTTAAAGTCTTAAGGGTTTCAAACCCTGTGTCCTGGACCCCTCCGAATTGGGGGGGGGGGCTTAACGAATAATCCCCACACATTTACACCACAATCTAACCCAAAAAAAAAACATAAGGCTCCACCTGAGCAGTGTGTCTGCGATTTGTCAATACAATAATGACAATATAATATGCAATATTCAAACATTACAGCACCCAGGTGTGACACATGTTGGTGGCAGTTGGTCGTCGTGTGTGTATATATATAGGCAGGTAAATTGTTATACAAATACACAGTAATGTTTACTTGAATAAATTAGTCATACAACATAATAATATGTATGATGGCCGTTTTATAATGAATATAATATAATATAATAATAAAAAAAGACAGCAGCACAAAAGGCCTCTCAATACTGATCTGCAGATGGTGCAAAAATCAGGCAAATATTGAATAGGTTTTCAAAATGAATTTATTATAAAGGCGATAATGTGTTTGAAATAATTGTACAAACAATAATAATAATAATAATAATATGTACAGCTGAAATATTTTTCCAATACCAACCTGTTGCCTAATGATTCATTCGAGTGTATTGTAATTTCCCACTTTTTTGAAAAAACTTAGATAGATTCTAATAATTTAGAAAAAAAATTAGCCAAAAAAACAAAAAATTTCATAACCCCTCTCCTCAAGAAAATCCTGTATACGCTTTTGGTTCACTCTGTCGGTCTGACCTTTGTAAATATTACAATATTTATCTATTAAAATTGCTTATTAGTTATTGTTTTAAATTGTAAAACGGATTGCATAAATAACAAATTAAATAAACAAAAAAAAAGCATTTTAAATGAAATACCAATTATTGTATTAAAAAATATTTGTACATATTAAAATCAAATCTATACAAATACCTAATCAAATAAATGTGTATAATATCTATATAAATTATATAATACACATATTATATTTGTTTATTGTTAACCTTAAACTAAATAGTCCATATCGAAACGAATATTTTTGTGACATTTTTTTTATTGTCCATTACACACACCCAAGAAATCAAGCTTATGCCTTATGATTAGCCTAATTTCTAGATCTCCCAATAAAAACCGAATAAAAAATATAATAATAATAATAATATTATATAATAATATAATAAAAAATATAAGTTTAATTATTATATCATATAGCTGTTATAAGATTAAAATACATAACATTATTATTTATTTCCAGCATGGAATGAGTTAATTTGACAAATTTAAATGTGCAATTAGTCAATGTACATAATTATGGAGTGATATGAAAAATACAAAATTTTAAATCTTGTTGCTAAAATCTTAATATCTGTGTGAGACAGTTTTGAGCATAGATAAGTATATTATGGTTTTGAGTCGATAAACAAAAATATCAAATTTTGGGAGATTTCTTATTTCAGAATAATTATTAAGTCGGGTACGACACAAAGACATCATCGTTCTTTATTCTATGGACATGATTGTATGTAAAAAAAAAATATGCTTTATCATAGATAAAAAAAAACAGTATAACATTATAAATTCTTCCTTGTTTTCCTCCTTCGCAGCGGCCATAAACGGTAAACAAAACACATAATTAATAAACCGCGTGACGCATTCAAAATATAGGTATATAGAACAGCTTTTATAAAAAAAAATATCCTTTCCTTTGTCATGGTATATTATATTTAAGACGTCATTTTCAAGACCATACAAACGCATGTGTGTGTGTGTTAATAAAGACGGCAGATGGCGCCACAGACAACTAGGAAGTACTATACTGTTATAATATAGGAAAACGTGATTGATTATACAAACGTTATCATTCTGTAAAAATCAAATGTCTGTGTGTGTGTAATAAAAAAGACACACAATCGACACATTGGTATTATATATTATTATTTTCATTCATCCGTGTTACATATTTTCCTTTGTTTTCGGTTAGCTGCAGATAAACCCAACAAACAACAACAGTATCACTTATAACACAATATTATAGGTATAGTTTTTTCCACCACCAGAAAGAAACGCACATAATGAACACCACAGCAGCAGCCCGATAGAGAGACTTGTCAGCATGCACAAAAAAGGCGTAATTAACCTGAGGTTCAATCAAGACCAAGGTGAGTGGTGTTTTTGGAAAAAAATAACACCCCCTTAAAGACATCTTACCCAGCGGTTTTCCCCCACATTTTCCAGGATGTTTCTCGTGTTGCACCGAGACGGGTCTCAGGATCTACAACGTCGAGCCGTTGGTTCAAAAGGACAAATACGGTAAACGCCTAGCCGCGGCGGCCCCGTTCGCTTGTTCATGCGTATTTATCTAGTTTTTTTTTACACAGAGTTTGGCGGCCTGTCGTTGTGCGAAATGCTCTATCGGTCCAATCTGTTTGCCATCGTGGCTGGCGGACGGTATCCGAAATACTCGCAGAACACGGTGCTCATCTACGACGATTTGGTGAAGAAATTCGTCATGGAAATCATCTGTCCGTCGGCGGTCAAAGCGGTTCGAATGAGAAGAGACAAGTCGGTGTACACCGGTCGAGAGTTCGGATATATAGTTGCGGGCCAAAAGTCACACTTTACAAAGCATTTTTTTTACGAAAATACATATATTAATTGGCGAATAACATGTGACTTTTGACCCTGAACTTAATCCGGACGCTCGTTGCCGATTTTCATTGTTGCTATCGTCAGGGTTGGACGTTATTTAAATAAGATAATGAATAATAGATAATTGGTTGTTTTATTATCTATTGACAAAAAAATTATCTCCGATTATTTTTTAATTTATTTGAACTTAAAACATTTTTCATATATCGTTTCATTTAGATAAAAAAAAAAATTCTTACGAATAATGTCCAACTCTGGCTATAGTAGAAAATTATTTGTCAACAACTTTTTTTTTTGTTTAACAGATTAGTTATTGCTAGTATTAACCAAATAAGCGTGTTTACATTTCCCGTGCCAACAAAACACATACTCACGATGGAAACTCGGCCTAACCCGATGGGATTATGTGAAGTCAGTCCTTTGGAAACGTCTGAGAAACAAGTCCTGGTGTTTCCCGGCCACAAAATCGGAAGCATTCAGCTTTTGGTGATTATTAGAGAAATTATTTTTAAACATTTAACTCTCTGTTTGTTGTCACGAGTAGTACACAGTGTTGCTGAAATATAAACCGATCGTATAATTACGTTATCAAGTTTAAGCCGATAACAAAAAACGTTAAATGCGACTTTTACAGGACGTTTCCAATCTGGAGACGAGTAGTTCTAGCGCTCCGATAACTTTGAACGCTCATCAAGGAGAAATCACGTGCTTGGCCGTCAATCAACAAGGGACCCTCGTAGCCAGCGCCAGTTCCAAAGGAACGCTAATACGTATTTGGGACACTGTGCGCAAAACCAAAGTCGCTGAACTGAGACGCGGATCCGATCCGGCCACCCTTTATTGGTACGTACGCCCTGACTTTGACGGTTGCGCGTTTATTCAATATAACATATTATGTTCTCTTGATAAGGCGATCGGGTAAATTTGTAATTTGTTATTGTGTTGTGTCGCAGTATCAATTTCAGTCCCGATTCGGAATTTCTGTGTTGTTCAAGCGACAAAGGGACGGTTCACATATTTGCGCTGAAAGATTCCGATCTCAATCGAAAGTCTAGTCTATCCACGTTAAGTTTTTTCAGTTCTTATGTCGAGTCGCAGTGGGCGCTTACCAACTTCACGGTGCCTCCCGAAATGGCTTGCATATGTGCGTTTCTCACTTCAAACACCGTCATCGGTGAGTACGATATTTTGTTTGCAAAACATTGTTTGAGAAACTGATTGAAAAATTCCACTGGCGTCGCGCCAGATTATTTGCATACATTTTTATTTTTATGTTTTTAACTCGTTATCGTAAAAAAATGTTTACGTCGATTAAAATATCTTGTCTTTATGGTAAAAATGTTTTTTTTATTTTTTTTTATAGCCGCCTGTCTAGATGGTACCTTTCATAAATACACGTTTTTAAAAGACGGCTCGTGCAGGCGTAAGGCGTATAATATATTTTTGGACGATTGCACGGACGAGGACATATAGATTTAATTTGTTAATTTATTTATATATTATATTTAAAGAATACTTTTTTTTTAAAACTAAAAATTTGTACGTTTTACAATAACCTAGTAAACGTCCGACGGTCGAACGGCGGTTGATTACGATCGGAATAATTTGTTATTAACATAAATTACGTATAAAGTCGTTTTGTTATTAAAAAAAAAACGTAAAAAAAATTAATAATAATAATTGTAAGAAAAGACGTGTTTGTTGTATTTATAAGATTTAACGCAAAAGTGTCGAATACGTCGTTTATAGTACTTGACCAATCGTATTAACAAAGACGACGTCGTCGTAACAACGTTTGTCTTCCAAACGACAGTGTTCGTACTGTAGCGACCACTTAGACGACCAGATTATTTTGTTTTTTTGTGTAATTGTACAAATCGCATACATTTTGACTTGTACACATAATGATATAATATTATACTAAATTTGTATAATTTTATATGTATATATAATATTTTTTTCAAAAATTTGTGATATAAAATGTATTTTTTAAGTTATATTTATTATTGTTATTTTCCTTTTTGTACGTGTTTTTTTTTCTTCAAAATATTTTAAAACGATTATTTTAGGAAAACTAAAACTTATAAATTCTACGTTGAAACTTGTAATTTTTATTCAATTGTAATTTGTACTGCAATTCGGCTTTGGAAGTACGCTTTTTTTAAAAAAATTTTACGGTTTTATTATTATTATAACTGTCAAGTTGTCTTAAACCGTTAAATTTTAAATGGTAAACGGCAAGATTTTATCTTCTGAAGATAAATATATATATATATATATATATATATATATATATATATATTATTTTGTTCAATTTAAGTTTTACAGAAAATTGAATTTCTAGAAATGTGTATTTATATTATAAAACTAAGAAAATCTGTGCGGTCAACCTACATAATTGCCCCAATTTAACTAGATAAGCTTAAAAGCTTTTTGTATGATTATGTTCTGACTGAAAGTGTCGACAGTAAAGTTAACCTGTTTTGGTAGCTTTTTAATATAATTATCTGTGACAAATTTTGTTTTACTACTTAAACACATTTTTTATCGCATGAAATCGAACCGGCAAGGTTTTGTTGTAGAAAATAACTGTACCTTCGACGTGAAGTTTTATCAAAAAATCGTTTATACTATAAAGTCGACAGTTTTTCTTATTAATGGTGTGACGAGAATTTTAGTCCGTAAACTTAATAAATTAAACAACAAATAATTAAAAAAAAAAAAGAAACAAAAAATATGATAGCGGTTTGTAAAAACCGAAAAATGCATCCGGCAGTGTTCAGGTCGCTCAAAATGTATACTACAACTGAAATTCTCAAAAATAGGCAATAGTGACCAATTTTTTTTGTTTGAATATTATAAAATTACCGAGTATTAAAATTTTTTTCTCAGTTTTTCACCAGATTCTGTATTGACTTTTGAAACTTGAACGGTAACGTACCTGATGTATATTCGATAAGCTTTGAAAATAATATTAATACCAAAAATAAAGACAAATACTTGATCATTTTTTTAATATATATTTGGAGATCTTGTAGTATGAAAACAATATAATAATAATAATACATCAATACTTGGGTCGTTTTTGCCAAATTTTTAAGAGTATATTTTCATAGAAATTTCCCTGTATATATATATACGTGTGTTATATTTTCTTTTCCATGAAAGCGCACCGATTGGTTTTACGTTCCATGAACGATGCGGCGAGGTCGTCTGGGCGGCGCCGCCTTGTTTTGCGCGCGCGGTGTCCGGTCGGTCGAAACGTAGTGCGGCGGCGCGTTGGGGGGGACCAGTGGTGGGGTGGGCGGGAAGAGGGAACCGGGGCGGCCAAACAGCAACGCCACCGCCGCCGGCGGACTGCGGAGTACCAACGTTGCCGCAAACAAAACCCGTCGCCGCCACCGCCCGTAACCGACGTTCGCCGCTGCCGTTGTGACTTGTGCGCACTGCGCATACACACACACACACACACACACACACTAACGAACCGTAGTGAGTTATAGCGACTGTTGTTGTTGACTGTCGTCGTAGTTTTGGGGCCGCCCGTTTTTTTTTTTTTCGCCGGCAGTCGTGCGCGTGTGTGCAATTTCCACAACATCGAATATTGTCGTTTATTTATTGCGCAGTTAAGTCCGTCCGCGCGCGGACTTACGGATTACACGCGTTGTTTTTTTTTTCCCGGCCGGAAAAATTCGCCGGAAAACCGGACGCGCCGGCAACGCCACCAGCCGTACCGCAGCCGCCGCCGCCACCACCATGGTGGTGCACCACAGCCAGACTTCCGTCACCATGGAAGTGGACCCGCCGCGGAACGCCAACAGCCCGGACGACCCGAAAACGGCCAACGGCTCGTCGGAGAACGAGAAAGCGGAAGATTCGGAATCGTCCGAGGACGGGCCGCTGGACGTCGGCGAACACTACCTGGTCCGCCGGTACGATGACACATGGCGTGAGTATAATATTATTTATTATTTATTAACATAATTATCATCATAATCATCATCTTCATCTATCATAGTAGTAATACGTATGTTTGTGTGCGCGCACACACACACTGTTCCCTTTGTTCCGCGGCCCGATCGCACACGGCCGCCGCCGCCGCTGCCGCCCGGCCGGTGCCCGCAGCAACGTGATTTCTGTGTGTGTGTGCGTGCGTGCGTGCGCGCGTCCCGCCGTTTGTTGTCGTCTCGGCGGGTTAGGTTGGGCGCGCGAGCGGGGTGGGAGGAGGTGGTGGCGGCGGCGGCGGCGACGAATAGGTTTCGCCCTGCCGGTGAGCAGACGCTCGCGACGCCCGGCGTTCCCGCTGGAGATGTGACGAAATGTTGTGCAATCGGCGGTAGCCGCCGAGCGCAACATGTGATTTCCAACACAATAATATATTTTAAATATTATCTATAATATTCGCGGTTTGTTTTCCGTTAGTGCGCGTTTAAATTCGCACGTTTTAATATTGTGCGAAAATAAAAACGCAAATTCCCGCGCATTTTGTCCTTGAAATTTAAAAAAAAACCTCTTACCCTCCTTTGCCCTGCCGTCGAGCTCGCCTCGCCACCGCCGCCGCTTGTTTTTGTTTTGGTCGAGCGCTCGCTCGACCTCCAAAGCGAACAATGATCGCGCGGTGACGTGTTTTCCCCCCCGACACCGACAATACACGTTGCAACGGCGCAACGTTTTATTTTTTCATTTTCGGGGGGGCGTCTTGGCGGCGTCCCGGCGTTTTCTTTTCCGTCAATTATGGTTTTTATTGTTGTTATTACCATCATCATCATCATCAATATCTTTTATTGCTACCGCGCAAATAAATCAATGACTCCTTATCGGCCCTCGGTCAACTACTGTCAGCTATTATTATTATGTTACCGACGTTGGCTATAAATAGAGTTTTACATTATCGTTCATTACGAATGCGCGGATGAATATATCGCTAGTGTAGTGCTTCTATTATTTTAGCGTCAAGTATGGAATTTAACCGAATCGTTAATGAAATTTTGAATTAAAACATAATAAAGAGATAACTTGTTTTTAAAGCAACAGATAAATGACTTTTTTAACACGCTTATATTAGCTTCACTTGTTGTATGTTTGTATGTAACTATATATATATGCTTATATGTAACTAATAAAAGAGATATTAAGAAATTTATTTAAAAAAGATGAAAAAAAGTGCAAATAAATGTAATTAATTAAAAAAAATATTTATTAAAACTTATATAAGATTTAATGACAATATTGTTATTGTTACTATATTTCTACATATTGTATTAACTTACTTATTTATTCGTATGATTAAATAATTGGTTAAAAAAATATTAAAACTAATATAAGATTTAATATTTTCAATAAATACATTTAACTTGAAATACTTTGTTGATTACACAATTTTTTAATTCAGGGTTAAAAACACCCTCAGGGTTATTTTCTAAAAATAAAATCAGCCCTGTCTGATTTTAATGGGTTAGGTTAGGTTAGGTATTATTGGGTTTTACCGATTTCTTTTTTCTTTCCACACTTTTTTTTTATGTTATTGGATCTATTATATATATGTTATTAAAGTAATGTTAAAATTAAAACGTTTAATGATTTTGCTTAGGTATATTGTGTTTAATATGACATCATTATCGTGCAAGCTTAACAGGCCTTGAAGGCGGCCTAAGGCTGCAATCATGAGATGATAGTTTCTGTACGAATTCGCTGTCCATTCTTTTTTTACATTTGTTAACGCAAAATCATACTTTTTTTTTTTAATAAATTTTATATCATAATATTATTTTAAATGAAAAAAATACGATTTTAAGTAGCTTTTATCTGATTAATTCAGAATTTTTATATATATTTTAAAATCAGTATTGTTTTTCGAGTACATCTATTTAGTATGTTATCTGTTGATTAATCATGTTGTATTAAAAACTAAACAATTTTCCTTATTTTCAACGATAAATTTTAGAGGCGTTTTTTTTTTATATAAGATATGTAAACTAATACAATAATTAACGGTTGCCTAATAATTCTATTTTAAAAATTCACCGGTTAACTTGTTTTCGGAATTGTTGTGAAATCGATAAATGAATACATATTTTATACAAATAGATTTTTTAAACTCAAAAATTCTTCAAATACCTTTGTAAATATATGCAACGAACAATTTTGTACTTTAAACTCTTTTGACGTTTAAATAGGAATTCGCGGGCCTTATCTTTTCAGAAACTATATTAATATTTTTGTTTTATAGATAAAAAATAATTTGACCTAAACGTTATTCGGTAATCCTCCATTATTTTTAGAATGATGACGATTTGAATGAGAAAAAAAAATTAATTCAACGGCGCTAATGAATTGTTTGTGTGTCGGTTAATCATAAGAATAATACAAATAAAATACATTATTAAGAAAATATAGATAATACTTATTTCGTTTGTGATTAACATCATTATTTTGTAATTTTTAAATTAAGGTTTCCTAAAAAAATAAAATATAAGTAGATAATAGAGACTTAATGTGGTGTTTGGCTTTCATTTGTGTAAAAAAAAAACTAGTATGGTGGTAGTTGTGGTTTACCAAGGGCGGGTCTAGGATAAAAAAAAAAGCGAAGATAGAAAAAAAATCCTCTTCAAATACATAACATAAGCAATAGAGTAGATTAAAAGAGAGTTAAAGATTACTTGGTGAAAAAATAATTGACATGTTATATTATGAAACATAAAAATACCATTTTAATGCATACAATTGAAGTACATAATTGTATCCGCCACTTTAATTGTTGTTTTTAATGGAAATAAAAATTGCTGCAATTCTATAAAAATAATTTTGCGAATTAATCTTAATTAAAACGTGATTTTCTTCTTTTTTTTTCACTTCTGATAGATCTTTACATCTGACCGACTCTGTGAAGCTGAACTTGGCTGATGGAGATTCAAGGTCGGAGAAGGGTGTTTAATATTTACACATTTTTTTTAGAACTTTTTTACGTTGTAATTTTCGAAAAAGCTATTTTCAAACAACCGAGACATTGTGGAAAACCCCAAAAAGCATAAGTTTACCCTGTAAATTTAATTAAAAAAAAAAAAAATTTGCTTTTTAACTTACCCTACCCGTTTAAGTAACTTGTGACGGTCAAGTCAATTTGAATTTCCTTAATTTTTTTTAAAGTCCATCAAATGTCTGTTATTTTATCGACAATTTGCGTTGAATTTTTTGAGGAATTTTCAAGTGTGATTTTTGGTCGTTTTTCCACCTAAAATAGCAACACTAGTTTATCAGGATTGTGTTTTTTCATCAGGTCGTAAAGTTGATGTATGATATTTTGTAAATATTAAAATACCAACTGGAAAATTCAGTTTGGACAATAATTATTATTTTTGTAAACGTAGTTTTTTAATAGAAAAAAAAACTATTTTCGTGACTGGTAAGGTTAAATGTTAATTACCTGTCAAATTTAAAATTATATTTCAAGTATAATATATTTAGGTATTTTGATGTATTTGGGAATATTTTTGTGATTACTATATTAAAACAATGCAATTGGTAATAACTGCTAAATATGTTATATTAAAAAAATATTTTCCGAATTCGTCGCTTTTTATTTTTTTTTAATACCAAGTTTATATTTACACAAAAGAAATTGTAATGAAAAAAAGGTGTAATTTTTTTATTTGTTACACTTGTAAGCAAAACGGAAAACACTTTTGATGCCATTACCTAATATTAAAATAAATTAATAACGTTCAACGCCATTGTTACATTGTTTTGTAAACCGTAATGATGGATAATTTTGTTTTAAATGCAATTAATTAACATACATTTTTAAATATCGAATGACTCATTGAAAACGCCAACGTAATAAAATATACAAAACCACTTGTGTAACACAAACCGATTGGTCATTATAATAATATGTTTTATATTATCCACTTGTGCTAATATAAACAAATTAAAACATTACAATCGTTGAACATAGTAAACCCATGATACGGAGGTCATCGGATAGACATCATTTATTACAAAATATATTATAGGTAAACGATCATTAACATGAAATACAAGTATAACTCAGTAAAGCTGAAGGAATAGTTTATCATAACTGTATTTTTACCTAATAAAAAAAAATGTATATATATATATATATATATATATATGTAGAAAAATAAATGATAAATGTTTGCCATTTTTTTCCCTCTAGCATTAATATAAAATATATTTTTATCAATTTAAAATTATTACTACCTACAATAAAACCGATAAAATATTATCTATTTTTGTATGGCTTAAATGTGTGGTATCTGTTGCTGCTGAAAATAATTTGATAATATATTACATCACAAGAGAAACGATTAATAATTGACTGAGAAATATTATTATCTTATAGCTCTCAGTTGGTAATTTTTTAATTTTAATTGGATTATACGCCTAGTAATCAATATGGACGTTATAGATACTCATTTACTATTCATTTGCTAGTATATTGAATGTGTGTTTAAACTAGTAGTAGTAGTAGTAGTAGTTGTTATTGATGCGCGTTCATTTGACAACATTAGCCTAGTTCGAATGTACACACTTCGATTTTATTTTTGTCTTAAATACTTACTGAGGGAGATCAGGGAAGGCTCTTTAAGCTGTCATATTTTTAGATGGGTTTTCAGCATTGAAAATCACTGAATCGTCTTGGGAGTCGAACTGGAGCAATGGGGGGAGCACCGATTGGTGTAAGTAGAGTAGAGAAATTGGTAGTATTTGGGATCAGTAGAGCAAGATAATGGAATAATCGGCTGTTGGCCATAAAAGAAACGCAGCTGGTTTGTCCAAAAATATGGCATTTTATTGGGTTTACTCAAAAAAATCTTAACTGGGCCGGCTTTAAAAAAAATTGGAAACTCTGAGATAACTGTTAACCCTTTTCAAATTAAAGGTGTGGCGAGATTGAGGTGAATAAAGATCAGGGAAAAAAGAAAAAAA